GTTTCAGCCACACTTATTTTTAATTTTTAGTTTTTGATGCATGGTACATTTTATTTTATTTTTTTATTTTTTTTACAGGATGTGGGCAGTAGCTGCATGAGTAGAAGTTTTATTATGTTCATATCAAGCATGACCTTTTTATTTTCATTTTTTAACTATATTATTTCCTGTCATTAGAAGTACATTATCATTTGGTATTTTTTTCAGGCGAAAGAAGAAATGTATTCGATACATGGAAGGAGAGGAAGGTGAAGACATGGCGCCTGGGTCAGCAGACAGCGTAGATGCCTCGCAAGAGAGCGATGAGGAGGATGATTTGCAAGACATGTCATCTCCCTCAACAGCACTGATGGGTGACCACACCGCCACCTCCCCTGCATCCTCAAGTCTGATGCCCTCGCCTGGGCCTTCTTTGGCATCACCGTCAGGGCCACCTTCATTGCTCATGCCATCGCCAGCTTCTCTGGCTTCCCCTTTAACGCCAGGAGAAGCTCCTCAGCTACAGATGAACCAGGTGCCCCAGGGTCCTCACCCTCACAGGCCCCCTGTGGGCACCAATCCTCGTGACATCAATAATCCTCTTAGTGTGAACCAGTTGACTGGCCAGTGTGCTAGCAACAAACCTGAGGCTGGGTCTCAAGACTCCTCACACCCAGCTATGGTGAGCGTCACATGACCCACTGCAACCCTAGATACCCACGCCCACATGCTGTGCTGGACATGCCCACCCTCTTATAAACACCACACTTTTGTAAAGGAGAAAGTGCTTTAATGAAGAATCAGGAATTCATGCCGGTGTATTTTGGCTGATACATTGGTTGTTTTTTCATTGATCAGGACTAAATTTGGGCTCTAGGTTGGGCCTGTGCCAGTACAGTCACCAATACCTCAGTGTCAAAAGTGTGGCTGAAGACAAAGACTTGTGGCCCCTGTTTGGCACCATCCCTGTAAATAATTGTTCCTTCACATCATGAATCAACCCTTCATTGTATCACACACACAGCAGTGTTAGGTACTCTACTCTAAAGCTGCAGAGCCAGCCGTTCACTTCGTTCTATTCTGCAACATGGAAAAAAGTGTAAAGCAAACAATATTTCTGGTGAAATCCTGGAATCATATGCTGGTAAATTTGATAATTAAATGTGTCAGGATGACCATACCTATGTATAAGCCTAGACTTAGCCAGTGTTGCAGGCTAAGTATGGAGACAGTCTTGCTTTTCTAAACTGTGAAGTGTTTAGGGAGCTGACAAAGACACTGTGCAGCCTCAGGCTAATCAGTGTTCACCTTACATAGGGTCTATTTGAAAATTCAAGCAGTGAAAAGCTGGATTGTGTTAATCATTGTTGAAATCCAAGAAAGCTGGAAAAAAAATATAAAAAAGACAAGAGAGTCAGTTTCATGAAGAGTTATTTATTGGCAAACAAGTTATAGCTGCAAACCGGTGAGGGAACCCTGCACATCACCTTATACTATAAGCCACTATATGAAAAGATCAGAGCTGCTGCTTCAGTGGATCAGGGATTGATGTGTTTAAAATAAATCTGAAATGGTTGTAAATACTTGAGAAATTTTACCAAAATAAACTTGCTCTCTAACGCCATAGTTCTTATCATCCGTGGGAGCATTTGTTGTACAGCTATTAAAATGGCTAACCAATTAATACATGAAGCTTTGGACTGGTTTCAGAAGTACTCAGTACTTTACAGACCACAGATTCTTTTGTAAGTTCAGAATATTTTTTGTTCTTTTTTTTAACATCCTTAAACTTTTGTTGAGATTTTAAAAAATTAATATATCACTATTTATAACCATGAAAACCCCAGACAGACAGATGGAAAGTCAGTCTCCTTGCCTACTCATGTTTTGTGGATAATATACCACAGAATGTTAGATATTTCTAATTAACTGAAAAAAATTATGCCAGGCTTGTGTTTACTGTGATATTGTGTAGTTTAGGAAATATTCTATGAGTGAAAATTTAAACTGACATTTCAGATTGTTTCAAAAGTCTTGACATTTTTTATGGCACTTTTTAGCTTCCTTTAACTCCAATATTGATTTTCAATATTATGGAAGGTGTTATAAGGAATAGATGTTGTTGGATATTAAGCTATTTCTTTGTAACTGATACAAAGTATTTATGAATTTGTTGATAATAATTCAAGAAAACACCATTAATAATCATGTTAATTTGTGTAGTTTTCTTCTAAGTAAGTCATATAACTCTGAAATAATTAAGTTTATAATTATCACATCATGTTTTGTTACTGAAAATATGTGAGTAAAAGGTGATGAGTAGGAAAAATACTTACAAAGACCGAGCATTTCTCTCGCTCTTTCTGTGCTGATCTGTCGTCCCAAGGGGTTTCTTTTGTCATGGGGATTTTTATCATTTTAACATTTTCTTGATACGAAGAATTGGTTATTGAAAAGAAAAGTCAGTCAGAAGGAATGATCGAGACCATTTCTTTTATACTTTCTGATCTTTCTTTATTACTTGTATCACATATCTTGCGACATTTTAAGAATTGTGGCTTTAGCAGCTGCTACAGTAGAGCACCAGAGATGTATTATTCAGATAAAATAATGGGACACCTGTGGCAATGATGTTTATAATTTCTCAGTACAGTGGCTGTAAAAACAACAGCTAATTACAGAATTGCCAAACAGAAGCATCACATGTACCTGTGTGATGTTTTGGCAGCTCGGTAGAACTGAGCAGCTCCTGTGATTTTATGCTTTGTGTAGGTTCACTTATATATGTCCAGTTTTTGTGTAGTATTGTTTTGAATTTTTGGCTTGTGATCACCCAAAGTATAAGTAAAAAAAAAATATATATATAATAATAAAGTTACTACCCACTTTAGAAAATTTTGTTATGTGATAAAGTGTACAAGGCCAACAAGGTATGAAGCTTACATTACTGATTATATTTTTTATTGTTTACAAGCATAATTAGTCAGGGTTATGTTAATTTATCTACTTTTTTGGCCAAAAATATCAAAGAATATGAGCACAGTGTTTGGCTGGCTACATTATACCTTCACGTTCAACTTTAAAGACGTCTTTCCACCCCTGTGATCTAATTCTTTAAAGGGGATTTGATCTAATAAATGTAATTGATCCGGAAAAGTACTGTTTGTCAAATGAAACCTTTTCATGAGAAAGGAAGTTTTTTTTTTTTTCTTTCTTTCTTTCTTTCATGGGATTTTATTGGGTTTTAAGTTGAGGGTCTTGGGAACTTAATTTCTGGGAACCAGTGGTTATTATTTAAAGTACTGACACTTGTCAGTGACCTGAAAAGAAGTGTCTCATTTTGTGAACAACTCAGTTCTAGGTGAGTTACCCGAGGAGGGCATTAAATGTTGAAATATCCTTGACTTTGGTGGTCCACAGGCCATTAGGTAAAACTGCAAGTTTCAGCTGGTCTCATAGAGATCACAACTGATTTTGTATATTGTGAGTTGTTTGTATGTGTGGGACCTGTAAGCTTTTGCAGACTTTTACTTTTTTATTGTAATTATTTTTTTATTTAAATTTCACAATCGTAATATTGTTAAAATTTTGCTACTGTCAGCCACAAAACTGCCATGGCAGTGTTGCACTTTCAGAGACCAGTGTTATCACTCTAGATTTATTTGATAGACTTGAACCCAGAGCAGGCACAAAAATACTTACAGCAGCACCCCCTGAGGTGGCCACACTGCCTGGTACGTGGTTCACATATCCTAAGCTCAGGACGGCTCACCACAGCCATCTGGGAATAACTCACAGCAGCTTCCATTGACCCACACCCTTCCAAGATGCAATCCAAATACCCTCCCAAAAGTAAAACTTATCCTTCTCAAAGTCTTAATCTCAGATACCATGATACATTTCATAATTAACATATTACTCTCTAATTTAAGTAAAACCAATTTGTCATGGTGTTCACTCTCTGAATGTTTCCCACACTAACTTCTGTAACTGACTTATCGTATCTCCAACTTCATGCATATGGAAATTTTCACCTTAACCTAACATGGTATACCTAACACAGATTTGCAGTACTAGATCTCATTTTGTAGTGCTTATCCTACAGGCATCAACAATAACATGGTTCTTTCTTTTCACACAATACACATTAATTCAAACATCTTAGTAAGAAATTCAGTAAGAAAACCAGTAACAGCAAACATCCTAGATGATCATCCTGAGAGCTGGCATTCACACCATATTGTCTGTAATAATCTGTCAAGGTTTACGATATTATAGTTTGGATTTCCTTGAAAACGTAATATTCCACAATGGTGAAAATGCGGGTGGGTTAGGATACACTAACTGTGAGGCTAGTCTCCTGGAAAGCACCTGAAAAGAGCTGCAACAGATATCAAGAATATATCATTTTAGCATTTCACAGTCCCTAGGTAAAATGGTCAGTTTTGTGTGATGTTGATGTTAAGTAATGTATATATGATTGAATGTTATTATTTGGTTTTTCACTGTTTCAATCTAGAAGGCTGTTGTATCTTTTTCCATATGCAGTCAGTGTAGCTGTGAATGTGATTTGTTCTTCACTGTGCCAATCTACCTGTGGCCCCAGCTGGTTAAAACTGGTCCCAGGTTCTTTTTGTAAATATGGTATTATATTTAGCTAGCATTCTATTCCAAGAGAATTGTAATTGCAAGACAATCATCGTTCACATTTCAGCTCGTCTTGACTTAGAGAGCCTGAATCATTTTTATGTTGTATTTTTGTAAACCCTACTTCAGTTCATGTATGGACAGACCATCTTGTAAGAGGCATTGTCACAGTTTGTTAAAAACAAAAATGCGATGTACAGAAAACAGTCGTTTAGAGAATTGTTCATGTAAATAGCATGTAGTGAATAAATCAGTTTCATAAGAGCAGATATTTTATGAATTACCATTAGAATCTGACAATTCTGTAGCTTATCATACCAGAAGGATTATTAGTTCTTAAAAGCAGAGAGTAAGTTCAAGATCAAGAGAAGCCACAGTACTGTCAGAAGTATCTTGATACGAAATTGACCATCAGTTACTTATATGGTTATTACGTGAAGCTTCCTTTTATCAACAGTAGAAATTTATAAACTTGTATCTTACAAAATCCCAAAATAAAAAAAGAATGATATAATAAAGACAATTTAAAGGAATTAAATATACAGTACAGTGATAATAACAATACAATTTCACAGAATGAAGTAACAATAATGTGTAAAGTTTGAAATTATAATCATAATATATGAAGAAACCTCAAAGAGAGATGAAACAAAGATATGCAAATATAAAAAGAATTTTGGAATAATACACAATGCATTTTTATTTGGATCTGTATTACTGGTGGAGTGGTGTCTTTAAACTACACAAAAAGAGAATGAAAATATTTTGCTTTTAAGAGGTGCCGGAAAATTATACAGCAGTTGTAAAAGGACAACTGTATAAACAACAGTCTATGGTATTACTGGAATCAACATAGATGAACAAGAGTTTAACAGGAATTGCAAGCAAATATTCTGTTGACTTTTTTCTCACAGAATTGAATAACTTTCATGAACTAGAATGAACACCAACAACAATCTTGATCTTCATGAGAAAATTCTATATATAAATTAATGAACAAGCAATTACTTCTAGTAAAAGAATGAATAATATGGATATTTCTATTATTAAAAAATGAATAATATGGATATTTCTATTGTTAAAAAATGAATAATGGAGGAATTTCTTTTACCAAAATATTAATGATACACTTTCTTCTACAAAACAACATGTCTGCTCTTGAACAGTTGTCGTTTTAAATAAAGATATATCACCAAGGTTGTAGAAATAGTGCTAAAGAATAATTCTTCCACAGTTGCAGAAGGTCATCTCTCTATTACAGAATTTGAGATCAGAACAATTTCATGAGAATCCTGCAAAACAATACAAGTTCTTGAATGGTAAATAACAAGGGTAAGTGAAATCCCTAGGAAAGCCCACCAACTTTCATCACTTTCATAACAAAGTAAAAAAAATAATAATAATAAAACAAGACACAAGGAGCAAGGCACTTGGGTGTTTGAAAGACTGTGGATAGCTATTCATTTAATATTAATAAATTTTTGGAGGTAACTTCTTCTACATGATCATTATCCATATTTTATGTCTTCCTTTTTCAGAAGGCTTTCATCAAGAAGGGTAGTCACAGTAGGGCTCATAAAAATAAGAAGTCTCTTCTTATTAATTCTCAGATCTTTATAAAAAGAGTAATGATACAATTTACTCCTTAGTTCATTTCACTACTTTTATGTGGCTAGTAATTTCAGACTGGGCAAGGCAATACTTAAGCATCAGAGCCTTTTCAAATGTTGAGAACTGTAATTGAGAAACTGAGTGAGAAGCCCTCATGTATGTCAAGACAGCAGTAATTAATGGACAAACTGAAAACCATAGTATGATTGTCATTGCATTTAACCTTTAAACTAAACTGTTAGGATACATAAAAAGGCTACCTAATAATAAAATTCTCTGCGTTTCTTTCTACAAATCGGATTTTGAAGCATCAGTTTCAAGAAGCAACTGATGAAATTGTTGTGTTCTAAGCAAGGAATTTAATAGTACAGTGAGCACAGCTACTTCACAGTTATTTTGTTTTATTATCCAATACCCTTGTAAGTAAAAGTATATGATGTCTGAATAAATCCTACAAAGTATATGTCTTATACTTCTGTTGCTATTTTTTAATGTGTAATAGGAAACATTTTTATTAGTAAATGCAGTCTATATTAAACCATATGAATGGCAATGGTAACCAGGTAGACTATCAGTTATTACGAGAGATAACAGTCACTTTTAAACTCCAGTTAATGAGAGTAATAATCATTCAATTCACAGTGTTATAAGTAACACCTACAGCTGTTGGCAGTTGCTGTTATTGGAGTTAACAAAACTATTTTCAAATTACAGCCATGAGATGCAGCAATTATCTTTAAGTCACAGTTTGTGGAGGTAACAGTTTCTTCTTTCAAATAACAGCTGTTCAAGGGACTTTGAAAGTACAGCTATCAGAGGTACCAGGTACCAGTATAGGTAACAGATACTTTGAAAGTACAGCTTTTAGAGGTTGAGGTAACCTTTAAGTATCAGCTACTAGTAATTTACATCTACAGCAGTTGAATGTAACAGTTGATCATTTACTTTGAAGTTACAATTATTGGAAGTAACAACTATGGTCAAGTTACAGCTAATGGAGGGAACACTTACTTTCAAGTTAAGGCTGTTGAAGGAAGAAGTTATAGTTATTTGAATTAATATTTTTTGCTGTCTTCAAGCTATTAAAGCATGACCATTTTTGGGCCTCAATATTTGTATGAAGCCAAGGACTCAAATAAAAATGGTGATGTGAATGGTCTAATTAGTTACTTAAGATGTATTTAATCGGTCATAGAAAATTAGTAAATTTGTGTAACTGTTATATAAAGTTCAAGCAAACACATGCACATACAAAACCTTTGA